GGCCAGGCCTGCCCAACATGGAGCTCCGGGGCCGGGCGCTGGGACTGCGCGTTCGGCAGCGTGCCGTGTGCCGGTAGACGCCCTGTCCCGGCTCCTTCCCGGGCTGGCGAAGCTGTGGGTGAGTTGCGGCACTGATCGCAGGCGGCGAACACTAAGCGGCGGTTCTGTGCAGAGCGAGGGGGGACCGGGAGCCCTGGGTCCCCGGAAGAGGCTGTTACAGGTCAGCAGCTCTGAACACGTGTAAATCTCTGTTAATTAATAGGAACGGGCTAGTTTTATACACTCACCTCTGATGCATCAATCTGCAGTTCAGCCTGATAGAGTTCTCTGCAGATGAAGTGGTTCTCCTGCGATTATAACCCCTTTTTGAGTGGATTAGGAAAATGAAGATTTTCCGTAACAGTTGAAGCTAAATGGAAATTGGATCAAAACCAGAGCCAGCCCACGGTCCAAACTCCAGCTGCGTGGCTGGGGACGTGGACGTGAGAATCAGTGTCTGCTTTGTGTCGCAGTTCTAGCGGTACTCGCCTGCTACCACGATGGACAGCGAGGTGCAAAGGGACGGCAGAATCCTGGACCTGATCGATGATGCGTGGAGGGAAGATAAACTGCCGTACGAGGATGTGGCTATCCCTCTGGTAGGTGATTGCTGCCTGTCAATCTGAGTTAAGACGGGTGTGTTTACCCCAGCCCCGTCTAAGAAACGACACAGCACTGCTTGTGGTGCAGCCAGTTGTCGCGGCGGGCTTCAGACAAAGCCGGCTTATTGCGCTACTTATTGCGCTACAAACCCGTGTTTACATAGTTCCTTGCCACGTGGATAGCTCTAACGTGATTGGCTGCATGCACTGTCCACGCGCTGGTCACACGTACTTCTCAGTCTCTGATTCGTGCGCCGCTATCGATCACGCGCAGCGAACCCCTCCTCAGAATCTTGCTTTTTCTTGCTAATCGCGGTTAAGTCAGGCCTCATTGTTCCTCATTGTGACGTTGATGCCTGCTCCATTACCGGCTATCAAGGGTCAGGCCCAGTGTATCTGAGGGCTCGCCACGTGGCCAGGGTTCCCCAACAGCTAATTTGTACAGAAGGTTCTCGGCATGGATCAGAGTCATTCTTTCTCTGCCCTGTGTGCTGCTCACTCCTGCGTGCAGACAAGGACATGGATGTTTCTCTCCCCCTTCCCCTGACCAGTTGCCATGTCTCCTCGGAACAGGAGTGCCCTTCCCGTCGCACAGCTCTGGGTTTGGCATCAGGAAGAAGCAGAATTGGCCTTTCTCTGTGCTTCCCCTTCAAGCTACTAGTGTTTGAAGTGGTTTCCCAGCTGGTTTGTAGAGCAGAGAGGATCAGTCTCAGGCTGACAGTTGCAGTCTTGGCTACGCTTTATTTTCACTTCCTGAAATTCCATTAAAAGAGGCTAAAGATTTTTCAAATCTCTTCCTGATCAGTCTTTTCCACATACACCGTTGCTGTTGCCAGTTCAAGGACAGCAGTGAACAAACTGGTGTCTGCAGTGGGACTCTCGCTTGCAGCGCTGCATCCAACGCACAGCAGTCCTCTGTTCGTCCCGTGTACAGCGACAAGGCCAGAGGGGTGCAGCTGGGCAAAAGCTGCCTCTGATCCCACAAAGCTGAAGCTTCGGCTCTCCCACACCAACACCTTTCCTTAGCCCTTTTGAAACTACCACGGAAGTGAGATGCATCTGAGGATTCTCCCTTTCCTTGTTCCCTCTGGCACACAAGCTTTGCCCTGTCTCACACTGACAAAGCAGTCACGCTAAGATTGTGGGGACTGACAGGCTGCTTGTTTCTTTTAGCACAGAGACATTTCCAAATTGCCAGGGACATGGCTCAAGCTATAGCCCTTACACCTCTGTCTTTTCAGAGAGGGCATGGAGCAGCTACACACCTCCAAAATCCATATATACGGCGCACAAACTTTCCCCGCCATGATTTGGGCTTGAGGGAATGATGTTGCAGAACTGTGCTGCTTAGATACGGGAGGCCAAACACCGCTTTGCTTGGGATAGGCAGGCCAAATGTTACAAACTAGTTCCTTGCTTACATTTGCCTTTACCCTCTGTCCAAGTCAAGAAACATTACTATTTCTTTCCTTACAGCCATCCCTTGAGCTACTTACAGTCACATACAGATGGCAGCCGCAGAGCAGGAAGCCTCATCAACCAACAATAGAAAGATAGGCCTGGCTGTGGATGTAGAGATCCCCAGGGATGGGACTGGCTCTCATCACACACAAAAAACAGTACAAATTCACAGGAGACCTACTCAGTGGCATTGTAAAGGAGCAAACAGAATGGCTGTAAAGTGGTATTTGAGCCTGTCCTGGGCATCTGATCCAGTACTCACTTGAGAGATTCCTATGAACTCAAATGGGCTCAAATATGCAGTTTTCAAAACTGAAAAATTTTATTTCGCTCATGCTGGGATTTCCAGAGATCTAGAACTCAGAATTCTTGCCCAAATGGTATCTGGCAGAATAACAGGCACTTTGTATGACTGCACCACTATACCAACATAGAGAACAAATAATACAAGGAAAGAAAATAAAATCTTAGTTAAACTGTATTTTCTCCTTACTGTGTTGTGAGCAGCTCTGTGTTGCACCTGGTAGGGGTTTCTGACTTCTGCTGTTGACATAGCACAGCCACGCTGGTGTTCAGCATGTAGGAAGAGGAAGGATTTCTCACCTGCCACAGAAAAGTAACGTGTTACTGTTGTCTTAATAACAGCTATAGTACGTGCAGTATCTGTATTCTTGGCAACAGCAAAAGAAACACATTGCAAACAAGCAATGGAATAATTGCATCGTACTCTTATTTACTTATTTTGCATTTGCCATATATTCTCCTTCTTCACTGCGTGTGCAGTCTGAGTGTATAGCAAGGCCCCAGGGTCCTGGAAAACCAATTTACCTTTCAGATTAAGCACTGTATTCATGTGAAAAGAATATTGTTCATAACTGGGCTTACTAATATTTTTAAGTGGATTAGTATGTATGATGTGTATTGTTCAGGTGCACCCTCTGGTCTCGTTGTGGATTTTTGTATTTATTCATGTGAAGTCTCAGTAACCTGCTACTCCAAGGAAGTGTATTGTGTGTGGAATGCATTGTACCTCTGTTTTGTTCTCAGAATGAACTTCCTGAACCAGAACAAGACAACGGTGGCACAACCGAATCTGTGAAAGAGCAAGAAATGAAGTGGACAGATTTGGCTCTCCAGTATCTCCATGAAAATGTTCCACCCACGGGAAACTAGTGAATCAGTGAGAGCTCATGCAGTAGATGCATGAATGCAATATAAAAAAAACATTCAGCTGACCGTCGCTGTCATAAACTAAGGAGGAAACAATGTTTCTGAAGAAGGCTCGGATTCAAAGAATGGTTCTACTCACAATGACCAAAGACAGTTTAAAATGCTTCTATAATGAGTATGAAATAACAGTGGCTATTTGACACCTCAGAGCTAATATAAGAATGTTTCTGTCATGTAAAATTATTCATATCTTCTGTTAAATTGTTCTTAAGGTGGTGCAAATTCTGATCTTAAATGTTTTCTGCATGTGATAAAAGAAGTAGTTTTTACTGTCTCGAGTTGTTACTGATTTCAAAGCTCACGATGGGATCATTTCTGACTCTGAAGGCTTATGTCCCAAAAAGTATTCCTGTGTATTCTGAGGTTAGAGTTCAGCGTACAAAAACCAAATAGCCGTTAAGTCAGTTGTTACCATCTTTACCGAAAGTGTGGCTGAGGAAGGTTGTGTGGGGCAGGCATGAAAGACTGGTCAGTAGGATTCAAGTAATCTGTAAACACAAGTGGGTATTTGAACTCATCTCAGGATTTGATGGTGGCAGTGGAGAGCATTTCCAGTGCTGACATTCTGGGTATGTTTGCCAATACGCATACTGTAAACAGACAGTCTAGTTTATGCTAAAATGGTGGTTACTCAAAGTCATTGTCTTTTGAGGGATGATTGAGAGTTACAAGGAGGAGCCTGCCAGTCCCAGAGTACTGTCTGTTGATCTGACAGCCACTCAGATGAGCTGTCTCAGATGGGAAACGGAAATCTGAGGAGAGTGGTGGGGAAAAGAAACGAGCGGGGCTTAGCTTCAGGCAATAAATTGTTACCTCTTTTTTGTGCTGAGAAGAAAGGCAAGGCCCTCTTGATTTCTTTATCTCATTTTAACTCTGATTCTCAAATGTCTTTTGCAATAGGTAGAAGCCTTCTGTTCATCTTGCATGTTACACTGTTGGACCGATGCCTTCACACCATTGGCAGAACTTGCTAAGGAGAAAATATTTTGACAGAGTTTAGGATTACTGGTAGAGGTGAGAAAGGAACTGGAAGGAAAACAATGTTTCAAATTATTTTCTTTTGCCAGTGCATCAGAAAAAGCACTTTCCTGGAGCTTGCAGCTTCCAGACTCCACAGAAGTTTTTTGGTGTCTTTTCTCAATGTTTATCCTCTTCAAAATAACAAAACCCAACTTTTGCCTGTGTGATTACCAAATGGAATCACAGCACAGCACATGTCCTGTGAGACTCTGGTTGCTGAGCTGCATGAGGATGAAGAGCTCAAGGTGCTTGTCAAAAAATCACATGTGTTGCTGGGTGTGCTCCTCTGCTCTGAGGTGTAAGCCGTGCCTGCACCAGACAAGCAGCATGTGCTTGTCTGAACAAGAAGGAGCTGCAGCCAGCCAGCAGGCAGAGTTAAGGATTAACCCAAGAATTAGCAAAGTCAAAAAGCTTAGTACGTATAGCATGGACCAAAGAAACAGCTCTGCAGCTGGGAACTGTAATAGTTCAGCACCTCATTGGAGCATCACCAAGGGGAAAAAAAACAGAGCCTGTGCTTAACGAGGTGTTTCTGATCCTCCCCATGTTCCCTTTCCCTGGCTTAGGTTAGAAGAATTTGGAAAGAAAACATTAGGCAAAGGTACCACAGAGCTTCTGTGCAGCAGCCACCCCTGTTCTTTCTTCCTGTCCCCTCTCTCACCACTTTACAAACTCCCCACCACGCTCATCTTTCCAATTTTGCCACTAGATCTTCCAGCTCCATTTTCAGACTTCCTTTCCTGCCCCTAACAGTTGTCTTTGCATCTGCCATCTTCTTTCTCCTGTCCAGCAGGGAAGAAAAGAGCCATTCTTAACTTGAATTAGAGCTGGGTTCATGAGGTTCCAGCAGGTCTGCAGGAAAATGTGGTGGGGATGCCAGATGCATGTGTCACCCAAGCCAGCAGTTGCTTGGCAGCCCAGCGGAGACCCAAATCGACTCAAACTGGTACCTTCCCTTTGTCATGACATCGTGCGGTGCACCTGCCTCCTGCCCGAGGGGACAGGATCTCATAGGTTAGAAGGGATGCTGGGCCGCAGTGCTTGGGAAAGCCAGAGGGACATGGGAGAGTAGGGATCGTCAGGAACGCTACCAGCATAGGGCCTGGTGAAACCAAGTGCTGGCCCCGCCCAGATGCTTATCAGCCTTGCAGTGACACCTACGTTCTTTGCTGCCTTCTGACATTCTTTCCAAAAGACAAATAGACATGCAGTGATTTCCTTAGTTTCAACACATGTAGTCAAATTGCTGCTTACAGCGTGATACCAAACCGTTTGTGTCTTTGATTAGTCATTCCCCAAGGCAAACTATATTTAAAATAAGGAAACCTGGTAGAAAAGAAGGTGCCCCACCTTTTTTAAGAAGAAGCTTTAGTTGTATAACTAAAGACTTGTCTTAATTTCTTGGCTGGTAACTTCCTCCTTTCACCACACCTACTGTTACTGGCAGAAAAAGAGAGCGAACTGTTGTCAGAGACAGCAGACACACGCCAAAGAAATTGTGGGATCCCTAAAATCTTTTACCTGTAGAAGTTCCATGTGGAAGCCCATATGCTGAGGCTGTGTGTCGTGTTCATCTGCTTTTTGTATGGAGTGAAAACAGGTAAGAAATCAACCATGTGTTTTTAATGTTTTTGTCAAATGTAACATGCTTTCTGTGGTTTGCAGAAACATGAATATATCTATTCTCTGCATTATAGTTACTGCGCAGGGGTTTTCACTAGCATTATTTATTTTGGCAAAGCAAATTATACTGCTTACATGAATGTAGTCAGCTTTAAGAGTTTCCAATGTAAAACCAGAAGTCATTTTTATTATCTTTTCCTCACTTTGCAAACATTTCTCTTATATAAGTACTATCCATCGACACTGAAAATGTCATTTGAAGTCTTCGGAGAAGAATGATTTCTTTTCAGCAGTGTCTTATATGACAGACGCGAAGGATGAATTACCATTTATGAACAATAAACTTCATTTGATATCCTCACAGCCCTATCAAGAATCAACCTGTGTAACAATAAACAAATGTACTACCTTGTGTTAGCATACACATGGGAGCAAGTCAAGTTATAGCTCTCTGCTTTGTAAGGAAAACAAACAGGGTTGAAAAAAACCCACAACATATTCTGATAAATACTAACTCGTATTTCATCAGGTTCTCTGGAGTAATCTTGGGGTCATGTTTTGCTTAGTTTATTAAATATGCTGTAGGAAATGTAGTAATAATAAATGGAAAAAGAGAACTGTGTGAAAAGGCACCAAGAAAACCCAGTGAGATACCGAAGACCATTTTAAGAGGCAGAGGGCACACTCTCTCTGAGGAGAAGTGATGGAAATCTTCAATAATGCTACTGAGATTTGCTGTGTGGAAGCGAAGCGTGCTTAAAGCTGAAGACTTCCTTATTGATGCATAAGACCAGTCTGTTGAAACATACTGCAAAAGGCCCAGGCATGGTGACAGTGATCTGAGCATCAGAGAAACTGCCAACAGATACAGAAGGAGCAACATGCTCATCTGAGGTTCACGCAAGGTGCTGACCGGGCGAGCAGCCCCCTTCGCAGGCTCACTGTGGCAATGCAGTCTCCCGAGAACCACAGCTAGGACAACTACAAGTCTGACCAAGTGACCACTGACATGAAAAGCTGTTGGAACTCCATTTTGTAAGAGGACAGATGGGTGGGGTTAAAAAACTCGGCTGCTATTCTATTCATGCAGACAGCCTCGAGATCACACTATGCAAACCCTGCCCATCTATAGGATGAACATCCAGGACAGAAAACACCATCTCCAAGAAAGCAATGAGGGAGACCAGGGGAATGCAGGCCTTAAGTAGTACTGACTGCAGTAAACACCACTGCACCTGCCTGGGACCATTCTCATGACCGTGACACTCCCACCTGGGAGTATATAACTTCAGAATATATATATACACACACATATGTAACTTCAGAACCAAGTTATTCTGAAGGTGCCCCTCCTGCTGCAACAGCTGATCTCAAGCTCGAGACAAAAGATGTCCAGCTCCCACACAGGAACAGAGGGTTTTACAGATTGGTATGGCCCCTGCTACAGGTGCTGAGATGTCAGAGCACCTTGCCCAGGAAACTGCTGCTTGCCATCCTATTTTACATATCAGAAAACCTAGCAGAGGGAGAAAAGTCAATTGCCTGAGGCTGTTGAGCAAGCCAATGGCCAAGATGAGGCTGAGAGCAAGTTAATAGGACAGTGGGTTAACTGCCACATTTACTCACCTTTCCTGGAGGGAAGTGGTCTGTTGGACAGGGGTTAAGTACAGTGCCAGGGTTTGAGTTTCCACCTGACTTATTAGCTTCCAGAGTTAATCTCAATAAGCCTCTTGCTCCACCACATAAATCATGTTGGAGCTTCAAAGACACTTCCAGCCATTTGGGGAGGATTCACTGCGCTTATCAGAATGAAGAGCAAAGCCAGGATAACTGGCTGTCCTCATGTGTCAGCCAGCCTTTGTGACACATGGTGGATGAGTCTGGGATATGCACCAGCCCACCAGAAGAGAAGCTGTCAGGTTTTCCCCCGCTATTAGCACTGATCTGATTTTGTCAATCAAAATAGAACAAATCTAACAGACTTGGTGCAGATATAACAAGGCTTTTTAAACAGTTCCTGTGTGAGCAAACGCCAATCAGCTCTTCAAAAGCTCTTCTTTACCAGAAGGTTTGGGCTGTTCTGGTGACAAACAGTGCTCTGCTGGGCAAGTCTCAGCACAATGCAGGAGATATCGAAAGAAATTAAGCAATCGGTGCGATCTTGCACCATATAGAAGTAATCCTTGCCTAGCATTTCTGCCTGTATTATTACAGCTTCAGTGGTGGTAAAGATGATGAGCAATACTATATAGTACTACTATACAATATCTTAAACAATTTCTAGTTATTAGTAAAAAAGA